TCTTGCCCCCCCTATTCCCCCCATCTCAGCCCCAGCCACTCTCCCCCATCCTACCCTACACACCTCCTTTCTCCCATCCTATCCCCTACCAACCTCTCCCTCCATCCTAATCCTACCCGCCTCTCCTCCATCCTACCCTCGGCCGCCTCACCCCATTCTACCCCCACCCATCTCTTCCCCATCCTACCTCAACCTTCCTCTCCCCCATCCTAATCCCTACCCACCTTCCTCCATCCTATCTCCACCATGTCTCCCCTATCTACCCCCACACCTCTCTCCCGTCCTACCCTCACCCACCTCTCCTCTATCCTACCCCCCACACCTCTTCCTCATCCTACCCCCACCCACCTCTCTCCCATCCTACTCTCACCTGTCTCTCCCCCACCCTTCACCCCACACCTCTCTCCCATGCTACCCCCACCTACCTCTCCCCTTGCTACTTCTCACACTTCTCTCCCACCAACCACTACCTGTCTCTCCCCTCTCCTACCCCCCACATGTCTCTTCCATCTCACACTCACCCACTTCTCCCCCCAGTGCTACCTGCCACACTTCTCCAGTAATCTTGCCCACAATTGAGCAACTCGTTTCCCCATCAGAGGTCACAGGTTTTATCAGTTCCTGTTGGATTTTATTTGTCTCTCAAAACTTTCTAACATCTCAAACATATCAGAAAAACAATGCACAGAAACAACACACCAAAAGAGAAACAGTGTCGGGATAAAGACAGGGTGAGCCGACACTCATCAAGGTCCCTGATGGTCGGGTACAGCATCATGCCTCGTCTCGTGTTGCTGTTCACCCTCACCTTGGGGCAGAACTCCCTGTCCCCAAGTTACAGATGAGGTGAAGGGCTGCCATAGGTCACACAGCAGGAGGTGACAGAAGGGACTCAGATTCCTCCTTTTGACTCCAAAGCTTCCACCCTTATGTCCACCATGTAGGCAGATGGCAGCTGGCATTGGGCGTGGAAAGAGAGCAGTCCAGCAAGGGTTGAGAATTCACCACAGCAGACCCTCCACAGCAAAAGGGCTGGACATCTGGATTATTTCAATTTTCCAATACATTCTCTAGACAGGGATCAAATCCAGGCGCAACTGTCATGCATATCTCATCACCTGGGAAAACTCAGACATTTCATAAAGCTTGTTTTGATTCCTTCAGCTTGATAGAAAGCAATATAGATGCCATTTGTGACTTTTGGAAAGTAACTACAGTTCCAAAAAACATGAAGCCAAAGCAGGTCAGAGCTAATCCACAGTCTCTGGATTCTCTGTGCAGGGTGTCTGGGCCACCAAAGTGTCCCAGAAGAGGTGTTTGCTCAAGGGTTACTCAAGGTGGGCAGTGGCATGGCACAGGTCCCGAGAGTCAGGCAGAGAAGGATGTCCTTGGTGGAGTCACTGGCTGGTGGAGCCACATGGGGCTACTGTGTCTCCTTAGGGAAGCTCATCCCCACAGTCTTCCCCAGTTGCACCCATGGCCTCCTACAGAGTGAGTGGTCCTGGTTTCAGAGGAAGATACGACAAGGGAAGAAAATCCTCTTCCAGGATTTACGTCATCCCACTCTTCCACCAGACTAAGTGCTGCATCTCCGAAAAATTCTGTCCTGGAGCAAAGTGCCAAGTCCTTCTATCTATGATCCACCACTCACAACCTGATGAGCAGCACTGGCCAGGAGATGCTCACCTTGCCCACCACAACCACAGCCAGCCTTGCGTCAGGCCATGTGGGGACGTGAGAGGAGGCCCTGTCAAGGAGGGGTCAGGACAGGACGAGAGGAGCACAGACACGGAGGAGGAGCCCTGGCAGAAGAGAGTGTGGTAGGATGGGGGAGTCAGGACGCCATGGGGCACAGAGTCCCACGGGAGAGGTGGGCTGGGAATTAGGAGTGGCAGTCAATGCAGGGATACAGGGATGGTGTTCTGAGGGTGAGGAACAGGACGACTGCACACCAATTCCAGCTTTCTATTAGTTTCTTTCCCGAGGACACATCTACAAGTACTCTCCTGAACACTGACTCTAGGTTTTGGTGATTTCTGAAGCAACACGAGCTGATGGATCCGTGCAAACCCCTTGTCCCACTGGCTTTCTGTGAGGCTGACAGCCTGCCTCCTGCAGGGCAGACCTCTGTGGCATGCACAGGCACTGCCACAGAGCCAGGCTGTTGACATGGATGAGGCTGCAGCACTCAGCCCACTCCACACACCAGGTCGTCAGTGGCTACAGTGAGTCCAGGGCCTTGCTGGCTGTGTGGTGACTGGGGGCAGGCAGGCCCAGAAAGAGAATGTGGTTTCCAAAGGCACCTGCCTTCGCTCCCACAAGGTGGGGTGCCATTGCCCTGCCTGAGGGCCCAGAGGCCACTGGGCTACAACTGAGACCAGAAAGCAGGACTGCATTTTTTCACCTGGAGGGTGTGGATGAGCAACAGCGGTGCCAGCTGACCTATGGGACTTTTGGGGGCTATTTTATTCCTCATTATGACAAAAGCCTCCAACCCAATGACAAATTAGACTCCCCAAAGTGATAATTGCAGAGGCACATTTTGTAGACATGACCCCCCAAAACACGGCAGGGCTGTGTAACAGAGTCGCAAAGCCGGGGATTTACACAATCGCCCTGTTTCTCCCCATGCACTGGCTGGTCACCAGAGAGAAAGGCAGTCCTGGACAGATCAGGGTTGGGAATGGCTGAATGGACCCTAGCACTGCTTAGCAGCATGTCATGAGGACCTGGCCCAGAAATGCAAGAATGCTTCCTCCTGAGCAGCGTTTTCATCTTCAAATATGAGCTAGTATTTTAGAGAGTCTGGCAGAAATTTTTAAACGATGTGACTGAGCCACATCCCCTCTGGGACAGAGTTGGGTAGCACTGTGACTCATGTCTTTGGCATAAAGAGGCACCTGTGGAGACACTGAGGCTGGTAGGGCCCATGTGACCCTGCCCTCTGTACCTCAGAGGCCACAGGCTCCTGTCGTAGTCACCACATGTAGCCTCCAGTTGCAAGAAGAAACCTTAAAAACAGTGAGGCCTGAGAAGCAGACACAAGACAAGATGCTGCAGGACATGAGGCCACTGGTCACGAGAGGGGATATGGCAGGTGGGACCCAGGAGCGATGGATGACCTATGTGGCCTCACAGTCTCCCCACAGCCAGACACGCAGTCAACGTCTCCTCAGCACCTCAAATCATGGGTATATATAAGTATATAAATGTACTTTTATATTTATGTATTATGTATGCATAAATATATAGATGCAAATATGTATTTTAGATAGATGATAGATGATTGAAAGATAGATGATAGATAGATAATAGCTAGGTAGATGATAGCTAGCTAGCTAGATAGATAGATGATAGATGATAGACAGATGACAGATGATAGACGATAGACAGATGGATAATACAGAAAGATAAATGATAATGATAGACTGATAGATGACAGATGAGATAGATAGATAGATAGATAGATGATTGACAGATAGATTATCAGAAGCATGTCACCTCTGGGGCAAGAGGCAGGAGGAAGAGGCTTTCCAGCTGACCCTAGAACCTACTATCCAGAGTTACCCAGCCCAGGAGGAAGAACTAGCCCAGGGTATCTCCCCTGCCTCTGGGGCTCTCCTGTCCTGGTCATGGAAACTTGTTTATATTTACACATGTAAATATGTATGTACTTATACACATATTTGCATATATACATATAAAATAAATTTACATATAAATATATTCATATGGAATATGTGAAGGCCAGGGCAGTACATGAGTCCCTTTCGATAATCTTCAGGACACTTTGACAGAGTCACTAACGTACAGATTTGATACTCCTGTTTTTGAAGTCCTCAGGTAGAGAAGCCCTTTATTTTCAAGTTTTAACTCACTGACATTCATAAATACAAATAAAGACTCCCAGGGTGAGAGCGTGCTCTCTCCATCTCCACCCCGCTGGGGAGAGACCTTTTGTGAGATGTCTCTATGGATGCATTGAGGGGTGGGCAGGGAGGGAGAGGGACTTTGAACAGTGTGCAGGAACTCAAACCTGTTCTCAAGTCAAGGCGTTTCCATAACTGTGTGATTCTCACACTGCATGTTAAAGCAATCACTCTACCACCTGTTTATAAGAAGAACATTCTTCTGGGTTTTCATAGAAACAAAATAGTTCCAGATAAAGAACCTGATGCTGGTTCCAGAGACTCTCAGGGTGGGGACATTGGTGACGGGGCGTGGGACTGGGGAGAGACATTCACTCCCCCTTTCTGTATCTGTTTAACATTATACTCTTTTCAAGTATTACCTATTTAAAATTACTTTTTAAAAGCAATCTCAACTCAACCACACAAACCCTAGGCATTATGTA